CGAACAAATAAACACTTTTTTTCTCTCTTTTTTTACCAATTCACTTTACGCCCGTTGGCGGGAAACACTCAAACCCTATAATGTTATGAAGCATCAGAGATAATTGAACCAAACGCATAAAAGTGCATTCGAATCCCATAAAACACAGGTTCGGTACCAGAGTTAAATGCATTCATCAGAAACGTCATGTTCTGTTATCTATTACGAAAGCAAATGGGAGTACGCTTTTCAAATTTCCTCTTTTTAAATATTTTTTGTTTTTCTTTTTTTTTAAAGAGGGAAGTGGATTTCCTCTTTCTAAATATTTTTTCTTCTTTTTTTTAAGCTTTTTTTTAAGAGGGTTTCGAATTTCCTCTTTTTCTTTTTTTTCTTTTTTTTTAAGCGGAAAATGAATTTATCTGTTTTAGAAGGTTATTTCACGTATAAATGTGTCGAGAGATGCATAAATAAGGCATATCATGTATTCATTTCATTATTTCATGTACAAATGTGTAGAAATATCATCATCATTATTCCAAATAAATGGCTGTGCCGGATGTACTTATACCGACCGTTTGTCTCTAATACTTATAAGAGCACCACTGTATGTAAGTGTGGTGTACATACACACACAAAGGCAAAGATAGACACACGCACCAGCAGAGAGAGAGAGAGAGAGAGAGAGAGAGAGAGAGAGAGAGAGAGATAGGGAGAGGGAGAGGAGAGAGAGAGAGAGATAGATAGATAGGAGAGAGAGAGAGAGAGAGAGAGAGAGAGAGAGAGAGAGAGAGAGAGAGAGAGAGAGAGAGAGAGAGAGAGAGAGAGAGAGAGATAGGGAGAAGGAGAGGGAGAGAGAGATAGATAGATAGATAGATAGAGAGAGAGAGAGAGAGAGAGAGAGAGAGAGAGAGAGAGGAGAGAGAGACAAGACAGACAGAACAGACAGACAGACAGACAGACGTAAGAAGAAAGAAAAAACGAAAAAAACGCACAGAATAAACCAAAAAGCTATTACGCAAAACTGATGGCATGTCGGCTGCATCGAACCACATGTATAATATTTTATTACGTTTTTTTTTTTATCTTTGAGCTTAAAATACGTTGTCTACCTTGCATTTTCTCGAAGTTAAAATCCACATTCAAAATTACCTCTTCTTCTGTTATAATAACATTGTTTACATTACGTTTTCTTTTAATTAAGTTCTTCAGATGACGTTTTCTTTTAGGTAAGTTCTCCACTTGATTTTTTGAAAAAGTTGGGACATTTATCTTTAATCATCTTAATAATAAGGTTAGGATATTACTTCAAAGGCTAGACTTAATTACGAATGTTTACTGAAGTCGCTTGTAAAACTTGCTATAGAGAAGATCCTCAATTATTTTGATTATCTGGTTCATGAATGAAAACCTTCGTTTGCGACTTCACCTTTCGTTTTCTATGCTATTTATCTTCGTTTTCTGTGCGACTTCACCTCCGTTTTCTATGCGACTTCATCTTCGTTTTCTATGCGACTTCACCTCCGTTTTCTATTTCGCCGTTTTCTGTACGGTTTTTTATGCGACTTTTCTATGCGACTTCACCTTCGTTTTCTATGCGACTTCACCTCCGTTTTCTATGTGACTTCAACTTCGTTTTCTATGCGACTTCACCTCCGTTTTCTGTGCGATTTCAACTTCGTTTTTTTCTGTGCGAACTTCCGCCGTTTTCTATCGACTTCGCCTTCGTTTTCTATACGACTTCACCTCCGTTTTCTATGACTTCACCTTCGTTTTCTATGCGACTTCACGTTTTCTATGCGATGCGAACACGACTTTTCGTTTTCTATGGATGTGACTTTTCCGTTTTCTACTTCACTTCGTTTTTCTATGCGACTTCACCTTCGTTTTCTATGTTTTCTATGCGACTTCACCTCCGTTTTCTATGCGACTTCGTTTCGTGACTTCACCTTCGTTTTCTATGTGACTTCACCTCCGTTTTCTATGTGACTTCAACTTCGTTTTCTATGCGACTTCACCTTCGTTTTCTATACGACTTTACACGACTTCACCTCCGTTTTCTATACGACTTCACCTCCGTTTTTCTATGCGACTTCACCTCCGTTTTCTATGCGACTTCACCTCCGTTTTCTATGCGACTTCACCTCCGTTTTCTATACGCTTCCTTCGTTTTCTATGCGACTCACTTCGTTTTTCTATACGACTCCTTCGTTTCTATGCGACTTCACCTTCCGTTTTCTTACTTCACCTCCGTTTCTATGACCACGACTTCACCTCCGTTTTCTATACGCGTTTTCTATGCGACAACCGTTTACCTTCTTCATGTTTTCTATTTCACCTCCGTTTTCTATGCGACTTCACCGCCGTTTCTATGACTTCCGTTTTCTTCCAGTTGCTGCGGACTCGCGCCATCTTACGAAATTCTAAACCTTTTCTCTTCTCACTTTCTTACCTGCAATAGGAAGGTCATTTAGTGGAGAATCCTTTTATTTTCCTTTCTTTTCTTTTTTCTTTTTTTCTTTTTTTTTTTTGTCAGTTTCTTCTGAAGTATATCTACGCTTCATGTACAATGATGATAATATATTCATAATCATGATAGTGATAATGGTAATAGTAATGATAACGATGTTAATATTGATAATGATGATGATAATAATAGTAGTGGTAACAATAGTGGTGATAATAAACAATAATAACATAACAATGATAAGAATTAAAATGATAATAATAACAATTATTATCATTATTATTGTTATTATCATTACAATGACAATAATAACAACAACAACAACGATGACAATGATAACAACAACAATAACAAATACAAGCTGAAAACAAGTGGAAATTCAGCAAAAAAAATAAAAAATAAAAAAATTAAAAATCAAGGGCTATCTAAGTAAGAAAAATATTATTTGCAATTTCGTACATAAAAAAAAAAAAAAAAACATTATTCCTTTTCCAAAAAAATATACAAAAGACTTTTGAAAGAGAAACTTGCTTTTATTCTCTTGATACTGAATCAGGAAGGAAAGAGAAATAGAGAAAGAAAGGGAACAGAGAAGCATATATAATATATATATATATAT